GAACCCTCCCCAGGAAGGACACTGTGCCTAAGCCAGGATCTTGGCCAACGTGGGAAGAGGGCCCAAGGTGTGTCCCTAGAGTTCCTGTCCTCAGGGACTGACATACTTCTTGGCACACAGGTGCTTTGTAAATATTTGTGAGAAGAATGAACAGGTGAGGGCAGGGGAAGTAGATGGCACCTGAGGGGAGAGTCCAGATCTCCTGCAGACTTTTCCAGAGTTGAGTCTAGTCTGGGAAGATAAATTGGGAAGATGAATCAGGTCACAAAGGTCACTGAATGCCAGGTTAAAGAGTTTGCCTTCATTCTGCCAGCAGGGGGAGCCATCTTGCTTGTGATGGAGAAGGGGCTGGATTGGACTACAGCTTTGTTTCCTTCTTTTTCAAAGTGAGAAAAATCATCACTAGTCAAGGGGCATGCCTGCCGCAGAAAGCCGTCATTGCTACCTAATGAAGAGATTACACTAGATCACCTGGATACCTGGATTCTTTTGTTTCTAAATTTTATAATTAAGCCAGCCGTATGTCTTTGGAATAAAGAGAGGCTGTCTTGTGATTAGCTCCCAACGCTCAGGAAAGACTCACGGCCTTTGTGATGCCCTGCTGAATTCCTTCCTGGCGTGTCACCAGACTCTGAACTCTGCTGAATACCCGGCAGCAGGACAGTAAGCCTGCCTGGTCTGGGTTCCAGGGTAGTTCCTCATCTCTTTCCTCACCATCTCATTGCATGGCTCCTGGATGGAGGTCTCTAGGGGAGTGCTGTAGGGCTCTGCTCAGTGCTTTTATCGGTAACCTGGATGAACTCATCACAAGTATTCAAATGCCCTAAGACTTCAAAAAGGAATTAACGTGTGTTGGATAGAAGAAGCGATACTCAGAGGTTTGCAGAAGTTAGAATGGTAGAGAGAAATCAAATGTTGAAGTGTTTTACAAATACATGTCAAGTTCTTTGTTTAGATTCAACACTAAAGTGAGAAGGCTTGAGAGAGAGAAAATGGAATCTATGACACAGGGCTGCCTCCAGGCTCCAAGGGGCCACGTCTGGAGCATCATGGCCCCTCAGAAACGGGTCCTTATTATTGTGGATGAAATTTTGCCAAACTTGAGCATTTTAGGTCAAGCGCTTTAACTTTTCTCCCACTTTAAAGTGGCTGCCTTCCCAGCCTCCCCAGGGCAGTCGGTGGCAATTCAATAATGACCTTTCCTTAATGGTGTGAAGAGAGGAATTGTAGAATGGAGGGAAACCACGATTATAATCCAAGAATTTAACAGCAGTTTGAAGCCTGAGCAATGGAGCCAGGAAGCACCTCACAGTTGGGAGCTCCCAGAAGAGAGAGCATCCCCGTGTGTCTGGAGGGAGAAGAGCTTCGAAGGTCTTTTCTCTGAACCGTGTGACAGGGATGCACCGAGAACTGCTTCCAGGGAAGGAGAGGACCTGTTTTTAGAGGAAACACACTTACAGTGTTTCTTTGTTTCCAGACAGCCAGTAACAGTTACATTGGACCTGACCCTCCTGTGTCTCTTTTTCATTTTCCTTTCATTATTTTCAGTTTTGAGAATAAGCATTTACAAAGCCTCCCCTGCATTCCAGACATGGTGTTGAACTAGACCTAGTTGTGACTTCCAAGTCGCCATGATCTACGAGGGGAGCTGGGACTTGGACACGAGGAACTCGGATGTGACTCTCTGCTCAGTCGGTACCCAGCAGGGAGTGGGGGCCTGGGAAGGGCTAACATTCATCGAGTGCTTCCTGTGTGTCAGGCACCCTCTCACGTGTGTTAGCTCATTGCAACCTACGAGCTTGCAGCACGTAGATCTTATCTCAGATTAAACCGAAGATACGAGAGGGTAGCAGTGACCTGGTCAAAATTAGACAGCTAGTCCACACTCTGAACCGCTGCCCTGGACTGCTTCTCCATACATATGGGTCACTTAGCAAATAAAGGCTCGTACGTGCCATAAGAGAGGTGCAGGCCACAGCAGGAGAAACAAGATGACACCGTAGTGGTCTGGAGACACTTCATGCCGGACGTTATGCCTGAGGTAGGACTTGCTGAACAAGACGCTGCTGACAAGCGGGACAGAGACAGGGTCTTTGTTCATTGTAGGAGTGAAAGGATCAAACATGAATGGCCTGAATCTGTCAGGTGGGGTGTCTGTTCGCTGCCTGCGGGACCCTCTCCTGCTCCCCTGGAGCTGATTGGACCAGGGGTGTTAGGGACTGAATTTTGTCCCCACACAAACTCATAGGTTGAAGCCATAACCCCCGGTATGTTAGACTGTGAGCGTATTTGGAGATGGACCTTCTAAAGAAATAGTTAAGTTAGAATAAGGCCATCAGGGTGGGATCCAATCCCATCTGATTCGTGTCCTCTTAAGGAGGGGAGATTAAGACACACAGAGAGAGAGAGAGAGACACCAGGGACACACATGCCCAGTGGACAGGCCACAGCGGGGGGTTGGAGGGCAGTGAGGAGGCAGAGCTCTGCAAGCCAAAGGGAAAGGCCTCCGTAGAAACCAACCCTGCGGACACCTTGACCTCGGACTTCCAGCTTCCAGAACTGTGAAAGAATAAATTTCTGTTGTTAAGTCCCCGCCGTGGGTGGTGTTTGTTACGGCAGCCCTCGCAAAGTAAGACAAGGGCTGTATGAGCCTAAGACAGAAGAAAGAAGACTGACCTATGACGTACGCGGGGGTAGAGATAAACCAGGACAGAGACTTTCTGTTAGCAGTTAGATCTGAGGGAACCCTACAAAAGAGGGGGTGAACTGTGGGGGTAGAAGTTGAAAGGATACTTGTCAGGACAGCGGTGAGTTGAAGCCACGAGAGAGCAGAAACTATAAAAAAGCAAAGGGACGGCGCCACAGAGAGCCTGAAGCAAGATATACCCGAAGGGAGAGAGACCAGAGAACGAGAGAGCCCTTGGGGGTGGAGAATCATTCCCAAGAGGGGCTTGAGTTTCCAGCGCCTTCCCAGGTTGGGCCCCAGCCCCTGTGGCGGAGTGATGGGAAACCCCGTTAGCCCTGGGCACCTGGCGTGCATCTCTGTTCCTCGCTCCCTGAAGAACCAGAGGAGCAGGAGAGGCTGTGTTTCGGGAAGGTTTACAGCTCAGGAAGAATGTAATGTGTGCGGGAAACCAGCAGGGAGCAGGCCAGAAGAGAAGGTTGAAGCAACTGCCTGGAAAGCCTGGAACGCGGAGGCAGGAGAGGGTGAGCTGTGCTGGGGTGGGGTGGCACTCAGGAGCTGGGGGTGGTCCATGCAGTGGTGGGGCCATGAGGGTAAGGACCAGTGGCTGTAGCAAGCGGACCCTGCGGTGTATGTGACCCAGATGCAAGAGGCCTTTATTTCTTGTCTCTGCAAAGCCTCAAGCAGCAGCTGTCTGTCTGCCTCCAGGGTTGATGCAGGGGTCTCGGCCCCTTCCTTGTGGGGGCTGCACCGTTGTGAGGTGAGCGCCCCCCACACAGGTGAAGGGGTGCATGAGAAGGGCCTGGCAGCAGAGGGAATGGAGTGAGAGCAAGGGAGGGGAGTGAGGGGCCGCCCGGGCCTGCTGGAGGGGTGGGGACCTGACAGGGACCCAGGGGTCTCGTTCCCATTCAGCTTGGAAGACCATTTGGAATCCACGGCCACGGTGGTGACTGGGAAATCGTCGCTTGTTCTCAGCTTCGAGAGAGGCGTGCTTGGGCCTGATCAGGACCCCACCACTCCTTGGCCCCTGCGTCTGTCTGTCTGTCTCTCTGTTACCTGTTCTCGGTCCCTCTGATGGGCGCCCAGCTTTTGCTCTGTGTCTTGAGGCCAGACTCCCGAGACACACCTGTCCACCTCCCCACGCACAGTGTTGATCCCCGAAACTGGGCAGACATCACTGAGGACCGGCAGTCACGGGCCAGGCATTCGGTCCCATCAGTGGTGACCTGGGGCAGTCCTGTCGCACCAGCATGGCAGCTGGGGCCCTGACACCGCTCTGTGGGCCCGGTGGGATTTCTGAGGCTTCGTTGGTCCTGTGAGTACACGTCCCTTCCTTAAACATTAGTTTTCCTACCCTTAACATAAGGACCTGGGCCTTCATGTTCCATCCTAGGGCTGTGTTTGCTGTGATAAAGAGGCCTGTGCTTCACTGGCTTATGATGGTAGAATTTTATTTCTTGCTCACGGACCAGTGTGTGAAAGCACAGTTGGTGCAGAGAACAGGTTCCCCTATGGAGTGATCCAGGGACCCAGGCTCCTCCCATCCCCTTTCTTTAGGGTCTTGGAGTCCTAAGCCAGCGGATGGGGAAGGAGAAGGCGTCTTTAACTCTCCCAGCCCAGAACTAACCCCTGTCACCTCTGTCGTTCATTGCTGAGCCTTGGCCCCATGTCTGTTCCTGGAGGCCAGAGCCTCGGGACTGTGGCTCTGGATAGGCCAGTCCTTCTGACCTCACTTTATGGAAAGGGATCAGGAATCCCGGTGCACGGCTAGCCGGTTCTGCTGCGTGGGTGGGGTTCGGTTTTGAACTTGTCTCCATCCTCCTCTCCCGGCAACAGGTGTCCTTTTCCAAAAAGAATCTTGAAGCCAGTGGTCTTAGTTTCCTAGTTTATTGCCTTGAGGCAGAATCCTGCTTTATTGCCTATAATCATGTTTACAGCTAGCCAAAGGGGCCTTAGCTACCGGGCAAAGTTCTGATAGCTTAGGGGGGGCCCCCTGCCCACCCCAGCAGGCTAACAGAGATAACAGCTGTCCAGGAGAGAGGAAAGAGGAAGCAGCTCCTGCTTTTCGAATGAGAAAGCAGGAGAAGGGGAGGAAGAGCAGAAAAATCGTCTTCTGAAACGAGGAAGAAGGCCACCGGCCTGCTTTCGTTTCCCTGGTAAATATTTGACTGGGTGTTTGCCTTTTCTCTGTGGTTTTTGGGTGCTGTGAAGAGAACTGGGCAGGACACCAGACTCTCAGAAGCCGTCCATAACTAAGAGGCCGGAGAAGCTTGCAGCACAGTCCAGAGAGGCAGACTGCTCACGGGGGCTGCGGGCACCGTCCCCCTTCCGAGATGCTTTCCCCAAACTCGAGGTGAGTTATGAGAGTCAGACTGAAGACAAGCTGCTGGACAAACACACGTCGTTGGCAACTGTCTTCTTTGATGCCGATGATTCATGGAAACTGGCAGAAGGGCATCGGGTTAGCCGACTTGCAGGTAGGTCTGGCACGCAGACAGGAACCACGGATGGGTTCCTGGGTCAGTGAACAGATTTCTGTTTATCTTCAGTTCGGAGCCAGAACGGAATGGGAAGAGCCCAGGTATGGTGTTGGAGGAGCCGAGTCGGAGCCCTGGCTCTAGTTTCTAGAAAATCTGTGTGCCTCAGTTTCCTCCCTTATAAATCAGGTGTAAGAACTCTGACCTCCCCCCAACCCCCAGCTTAGGGAAGATCACAGGAGGAGAGACTGTGAAAGGACTTTGAGATCTGACAATCTGGTCCAGATGCCAGCAATTAAAATTCTTGCTCAAACATTGGAACTTAAATATTTAATCTCAAATGATCTAAGAACTGAAAAGATGAGTCCAAAGCATGACAGAAAGTAGAACTGTTACTTTCTGGTGTCCTAGTATGTCTGGTTAGGTTGTCAGGGGGCTGTCGTGGAGGGTGAGAGGCAGAAGAGGAGTTGTGGACAGACAGACATGCCGGGGGTCACTTGGGAAAGCAGATAACAGGTTTCCCCGCTGTCTGCCATGAAACTTTTCAGAAGCCAGAATGCTGGAAAGCCATTATGTGGAGAAACTTTTGAGTGTTCCCAGACCCCAAAAATAACCTCTCTTAGGCTTTTCTGTTACCCTCAGACACATTTTGCTAACAGATGCACAAACTAAATGGAGATAAAGCACCAGTGCTCACCCTGTTCGAAGCTCTGGCGGCTTGATGGAAATGTGTCTCCAGGGGAAGGAGCATGACGACAGCCCCCTCCCTCCCAGGGTCCCTGCTGCTTCTCTACTGGCTTGTTGTGAAACAAACCCAGGACACTGTTTTCACTTTGGCTTTTTTTTCATAAAGGGGAAAATCACCTGTGGATTTCTTTTGGTTAATGGAAACAGGGACTAACATAGGGCTTCTGTAGAAGGGAAGTGGCGTAACATGAACTTTGGAAAAATGGGATGTAGCTGTCCCTGGAGCCCCAGGTATCGGCAATGGAGAGGGCGGGGGGTGGAAAAGGACATGGGACAGGAAACAGAGAAAGAGGGGGTCCTGGAGGACAGGTGGACAGAGAGGGGAGTCAGCTGAGTGCCATGGGACAGGAACCAGGAAGCCGGAGGGTGCTCATCACTTCCTCTTCTCTCCAGCTGGACTCCGTGGGCTGAGAGGGAGCAGGGGAGTGTGGTTGGATGCGGACTTCAGGGAGGTCCCTCTGGTCACAGGGTAGAGGACGGATGAGGGGGCAGACCAGGAAGGGTGAGACAGGGCAGGAAATCCACCCTGAATCCAGGTGACAGTGAGGGTAGCCTAGGCTGTGGCAGGGGCTGGGGGGACAGAGACATGTCTGGATTCAGCAGGGATCGCAGAGTGCCCCTGACTGGGTTGGATCTGGGGGTGAATTGGAAAACGTGCCTCTGGGTCTCTGGCTTGGCTGAATCGGGGGATGGAGGAGCCATTTCTGACATGAGGAACCCTGAGGAGGAGCAGGTTGGCAGGGGTGTCCAGTGGGGACATGCTGGACTGGAGTCCTGTGGGACATCCAAAACGAGAGGACCAGGAGGCAGGCAATTGGCCGTATGGTCTCGACTCAGAATAAGTCTGTGCTGCACCCAGAGGACGTGACCAACCCCATGACCTTCAGGGGCCCCTCCCAGGACCTCCTCTTTGTCGTGGTCATCTCCTGGACCCAGGCTGCCTTGTTCAGGCCCTTCTCACAGGGCAGGGCTCAGGCCTGAGCGTGTTGCTCAGATCTGTCTGGCCAGTGAAGAGTAGGGGTCACTGTCTTCTCTGAGGACCCCCGACATGGAGCCATTATCCATGTCTTAGTGTGATTTTAAAGATTTTATTTATTTATTTGTGAGAGAGAGGGAGAGCACAAGCAGGGGGAGCAGCAGGCAGAGGGGGAAGCAGGCTGCCCACTGAGCAGGGAGCCTGATGTGGGGCTCGATCCCAGGACCTTGGTGTCACCACCTGAGCTGAAGGCAGACGCTTAGCCGACTGAACCACCCAGGCGCCCCCTTACTATAATTTTAATGTGTGAGTCTGTTTCCTGTTTAGAAAATAGAAGAAGGGTTCACACGCCAGCTCTGCCGCTAGCTGAGGACCTGTGGTCATTTACTTCCTCTCTCTAAAGCCTCAGTTTTTCCACCCATGAAGTGGGAATAAGTGTCCATGCTCCACAGGTTGTGAGAGATTCAGGGAGCTGATAACTTAAAAGACTGTAGCCCAGTGTCTAGCACATGGTAAACCTTCAACAAACAGCACCTGTTATTATTGTTATTTTATTAAGTGAGAAGTGAAAATGAACGTTGCCTTATCGGACAGTTAGGAATGGTAGCAGTAGACAAATGGGCTTCTTATGACCTGTTCCAAGTCAGAAGCTAGGGGTGAGGCTGGAATGGGATGGGAGATGGTTGGAATTTTAAGCCAAGTGAAATGTTTCTTGCTTTGGAAAAGCCCAGACAAAGAGTGAGAGCTCGGGCCTGAAGAAAGCACCTGGGACAGGAGGTGATGAGTGCCAGGGAGCTGTGTGGCTGAGGAGCTGGGGGGATTCCTTCCCAGGGGAGTGCCGAGGGATGGACTCTGGCACCAGGGAGACGAGCCAGGGCGAGGAGGCTGGTGCAGCGTCCTGAAGGGCAGGCTGATAAGGGGCCTGGGCTAAAGAGTTTCCAGATGATCTCACCTGCTGTGACACATCGGAGCAAGGCCTGGTGTTTGGGACAGATGCTTGCCAAAGGTACTATGAGTCAGATGCCTTCAGGGGTGGGGGGCCCCTGCCCTCCCGATCACCTCCTAATCAGGGTTTTTTTCAAGCAGCTGACTGAGATCCATTAATGGACTGTAAAGTTAATATAGTGGTTATGACCTGCCTCTTACAAAATGGAATAGGCCAGAACAAAATGAAGAGAATTGAATCAGATTAAAAATCCTAGAGGACACAGTGCATAAGAAGGGTATTGTGTTGTGAAAATTAGTTTTGCATGTGGTTACATGCATACACGCACATGTGAACTGGCTCATGGCGACAGTGTGTACTTGACCACAACTATGACTTGTAGTCAAAAAACCTAAAAACACTGAACTGATCCAATCTCCTCCTTTATTTACTACTTTATACCTTCTGCCCAGGGGTGGGCCAGAGGTATGCAACAGCTGACTCCCTGGAAAAAATATATGTGCTTGACATACATTGTACCTACCTAGCATGTATCACACAACTTGTACATAATGAAATACACAACGCTCTTTATTATAGAGTCCATACAGCCAATTAATTCTCATGGAATGCTTTCATTGATTTTTGCTGAACTCTTATCTGTAGCCAACCTGCAATTGATAAATGAGCATAGTTTCGATGTGAATGTTATTTGATCGTTTTATTTGCATTAATGAGTAAGACAAATGTGAAACAATGAAGACAAGGGTTCAGTCAGAATGTCACTTGTTCTTCAGTTGACAGAAACTATTTCTGAGATGAATAGGATAAGAGTTTTTGAATTCTGGAAGAACAGTTCCAGATGCCAGTAGAAGGCATCACCTGGGGAGGGTGGGTCTTCTACATTTAGGGCTGTTGCTTGCCGCTGCCCTGTAGACGTTCACCCTTCAGCACACCTGGCCCACCAGGATCTTCCAAGAAGGGGTCTCCGTGGCTTTCGAGCTTGGGTTTCCTGTGGTAGGCTTCGTATGTTCACGGCAGTGGCTGCCGGAGAGGAAGTGTAGCCCAGGGGGCCAGACTCCGTGGCTGTGGACCCGTTATGAGCTCACCTGTTTCCAGCTGCTGCCAGACCAGCTCTCGGCTCAGCCCCTCGAGCAGGAGACAGGCCCGCTGGTGCATCTGTGTGGGAGGTCACCCGTCTGGAAGAGTGTGATGGTTCTGTATGTACTGAAATGAGATATTTCCTTTCCTAAGTAAATGCATTTTCTTTCCTTGATTAAATGAAAAAATCGAGTTTAGTTAGACCCAATTTTTGCTTAACATTTTGCTTAACACTATAGATGTTGTAAACACACATAGTTATTGAAGAAGAAAGGATTTTTATTTACTACTTTATGCATTTATACATTTGTACATATTTTGAGTGTTTTACAGTGAGCATATATTACATTTCAAATGTTATATACATGCACGTGTGAGAGAGTGACACAGTGAGGATAGAGAGGGAGAGAGTCTGAGCATATCTGTAGGCACCTTTCTGAGTATTTCTTTAGCTTATATTTTTCAGAAGTAGAATTCCTGGAAGTGGGATTGCTGTATCTGGAAAGTTCTTGGTGTATATATTGCAAAACTAGTCCACCGAATGGTTATACCAGTTAAACCTCTTACTACCAGTAAATGGATACTAACTTGCTTTAACCTTTAGTAATATTGGGTAATATCTTCAATAATTCCCAATTTAATAGATAAGATAGCATTTTATCTTAATTTCTACTTTTTTATTAGCTGGAATTTTAAGAACTCTGCATATTTCTATCTTCCTTGTTGGTGGCTTACTGTTCACTGGACATTTTTGTTCTCGTGACATTTCTCTTCTAATCTTGATTTTGTTTTTTTCTCTTCCTGTAGTTGGTTGGAACGATTGAATTTTCTTTCTTCCGTAGATACTTTTTAATATACGGGTTTACACTATAATCGTATTCTTCTGGCAGTTACCTATGGATTTGTAACATACTTACTTAGAACTACTTTTTTCTTATACTGCCCAGAAAAAGAAAACCGTTTTCTCCATCCTCCTGCCAAGCAGGAGAATGGGATGGTGCCGTTCTCCCCTCTGGGTCCACACCTGTTCCCACTGACCCCTCCCCCCTGCAGGATATCACTTGGTATTTTACCTCCAATTTGGCATTTCACATATTATGTGTCACAATAACTACTCACCGAGATATTTATTTATTTAAAGAAAGCATGAGTTGAGGGGGAGCGGCACAGCAGAGGGAGAGGGAGAGGGAGAGGGAGATGATCTCCAGCTGACTATGCCAAGCACAGAGCTGGACGTGGGGCTCGATCCCGCAACCCCAAGATCATGACCTGAGCCAAAATCAAGAGTTGGATGCTTAACCAACTGAGCCAGCCAGGCACCCTGATATTTAACCATGTATTTTACTCATTTTCTGTTAGTTGTTGCTTTTAAACCCTTCTCCTTCTTCCTAGAATCCTCTTTCTTATTTCTTGAGAATTTCTTCCACTTTTCTTTCCAGAGGGTCTTTTGTGTCCTTGTGTTTCTAAGAATGTTATCTATATATAAAGATATATCTCTCTAGATATAGCTAGATAGATAAATTTATCTTCATTTATGTCATATATATTTATATGTTTATGTATTTATTTAAATGTATATTTTCTTAAAATCCCATGCTCGGGGTTAACAGTAAATTTTGCTGATTTTTTGCCTGCTCTTGCTCCTTGTACCCTTCTACTTCCTTGGCTTTATGCTTCTTATGAAAAATTTCCTATAGTAATGACTTCAGAGAGGTTCTGTCTTGCCCCAATTTTTAACTCTCTTTTGTGGTGTAATCTTTCCTCAGATGTTTGATGGCCCTCGACTCTGTTTTCATCTTTGTGACTGAGTGGCCACTGGGGTGCCCACTTTCTGGAAGGTGGTTTGTCCTAAGGCTGCTGTCAGGGCAATGGGTTGGAGGGTGAGACACTGCTAGGCAGGATGCCTCTGGGGCTGGCCATCTGGAAGGTGAAGCTCCTGGTCCCTCACAGACCACCTGTGATCCAGAGCACGACCCGTCTCTCTCTCTCTGTGACCCATATGCACCACTCCTGGGGACAACCCCCACTGCCTGTGGCTGGTCAGCGGAGGTGGGAGGACAGCTGGGACTCTGCGAGACCCCAGTTCATCACTCAGTGGGCTGTTGGCAACCCCGTCCTGCTTCCCCTCTTGCACTGTGGGTGTAGAGCCCTGTGTGTGTGTGGTATTGTTGACTCATGCCTTTTCTCTTTGCTGTTATTCATTTGACAAAGAGAGCATGCGAGCGACAGCACAAGCTGGGGGAGTGGCAGAGGCAGAGGGAGAAGGCAGGGAGTCCAGATGTGGGGCTCATGGGGCTCCATCCCAGGACCCCTGGGTCATGACCTGAGCCAAAGGCAGATGCTTAACTGACTAAGCCACCCAGGTTCCCCTCTTCGCTGTAATCCTAATTGCTCTGTATCATTCAGGGTCTTCTCGTAGTTTCTGTCCCTGATAGATCCCCTTCTTGCTTTCAAATATCTCTGTTTTCTTTGTTTGTTTGTTTATTTATTTATTTATTTATTAGATCCCCTTCTTGCTTTCAAATATCTGTATTCTTTACTTTCTGTTTTGTTTTTTAATTTTTATTTATTTATTTATTTGACAGAGAGAGATCACAAGTAGGCAGAGAGGCAGGCAGAGAAAGAGGGAGGAAGCAGGTTCCCTGCTGAGCAGAGATCCTGATGCGGGACTCGATCCCAGGACCCTGAGACCATGACCTGAGCGATTTTTTTTTTTTTAAATGACATCTTTGTCATTTGGAGGGTTTTGTATGGGATGGGGAGGCTGGTGTATGTGCTCCGTGTACCCTCCTGAAAGCAGAAGTGTGACCTTTAGGGTTCTATCATGTTTTCTGGCGACCTGGGTTCCTGCACCTTCCCCACCACTTCTAGGATCTTTCAAACCCATGGTTACACACACCTGGGGAACATTGGGGTTTTAAACAACTACAGGGAAAGGTGCTCCACTGACGGGTTTCCCTGAGGAATGCTCTTCCCTGAGACCTTGGAGGGAAAAGCAGGAGCTGGCCAGGGAAGGAAGCCTGGAGAGGGCCAGACGGATGCCACCATGGGTAGCTCAGACCTGTGGGTGCCCGTGAGCGCACCTGGGGGGAGAGGGTGGAGTGGAATCCTAGCGGCAAGAACAAAGTATGGGGAGTCCGGAAAGGAGAGGGTCCCTGTCAAGAGAAGTCGTGGAACTGCCTTGTCATCTTTTAGCCCTGAGGCCCCAGCATCCTGCTCCTGCAGCCTGGGGAGGACACAGTCTGCAGCCACTGGTCCAGATGCCTGTGGCATTCCTGCCCAGTTAATGAAACTCCAGCCTCCCACACAGGGAGGTCCTGCCAAGGCTCTGCGGGAGTGGAGGGCACCCTGTTAAGTGTTTATGTTGCGGCATGTTTTCCTGAAAATACAAAAAAGTAAGAGGATTTCTTAGTTTTATTTGAAAAGGATGTCCAAATTAAATAAGCATTGGGCCTCACAGAGCCTGAATCTGTTCCCGACGGTGTCATCAAGAAAGGAAGGAGCTAGGAGCACTGCTGGCTCAGTCCATGGAACGTATGACCCTTGACCTTGGGGTCATGAGTTTGAGCCCATGTTCGGTATAGAGACTACTTAAGAGATAAATTAATTAACAAAAAAAAAAATAAGGAACGAAAGAAAAAAGGAGTTAGATCCGGTTAGCAGGACAGTTGGATAGATAATCAGGCTTGAGAAAGAAATATGGATGAGGATAAATTCACTTAGGGAAGACATATCGCAGTGAGCAGTGCTGGCCCTGAGGAAGCAAAGTTAAAAAAGATCAGATGGTCTTAGTGGGGTACAAGCCGAGCTTCTGCCAGTGATGCTCAAGGCTGACGGGTTAGTGACTGTAGGCGTGACTGATGGTGTGAATGTGGTTTGGGCTGTTTTTCAGAACCAGGCAGCTAAATGGCACCTGTGTCGGCTCGGTGGACTTGGAGCTCTTCCTCCATTATTCCCTCATCCCATCAGTAAGTAGAAGCAAGGGAGAGCATGGAGCAGACTGGGTCACTCCCATACACAGACTCCCAGAGGAGCCTGAATAGGTCAGCAGAGAGACATCGGGTGAATTTCCTCAACTTGCTGTCTTGCATTATGCACCAAAAAAGGAGGCAGAAGAAGGCTTTTTAAGGCCAAAGAGTCAAAGACACTGGTTTTTAGGGGAGTAAAAAAAAAGCTCTTCTAAGGAAGTGATGATAGCTGAGGTCTGCTGGGAGATGTGGTATAGAGCCTCTCAGGCAGTCAGGAGAGCACGTGCAAAGGCCCTGTGGAAGAGGGGAATGGGGAGTGTGAGGAGCTGAGAGGGCTTGTGTGACTGGAGTAGGGAGCTGAGGTGGAGGTATCTGGGAGATGAGTGGACCTGGGTCCGGTGGAGCCCTGTGGGGCTCTGTGCGAAGGAGTGGTGTCTGCACTCCAAGTGCAGTAGGGAGTAACGACTGTTTCCAGCATGAGGCTGGTGTGATCAGATTTCTGTTTTGAAATGATCTTTCTGGTCGCATTGTGAGAATCACATAGAGGTAGGCCAGAAAGGAGATGGTTAGAGATTTTAGCTCATCCTGGTTGGTGGTGGTCAGCTTAAGACTTTTGGGAGGAAAGACAATAGGACTGGGTAATGCATCAAATAGAGAAGTTAGGGAGAGGAAGAGTTGAGGGAGTGTGGGTTTCATCACTTGCACAGCCAGAAGAATGGCAGTATCTGCCATTCACTAGTTAAGGAGAACCAGAAGACATCAGGGTTTAGGGTGGTTGAAAGAACGGGGCAGAGAAGCAAATCATGAATTCCATTTTAAGACATACTGAATTTAAGAAGCTTTCAATACATCAAAAAGAAACACCAACTCTGTAGTTTGATGAACAGTTACGGAGCTCATGGACAAGGTCTGGGCTGACGAGTCAAGCATGTGAGTCTTCTGTGCATTGATGGTCATTGAAGGCATGGATGTGGGTGAGAGGATCCGGTAATAAGGGGTCCTTGGACTGAACTATGAGGCATTATGAGGGGCACTTTAATAATCCAGCAGAGGAGGCTGAGAGGTAATGGAGAACACCCAGAAAAACACAGCTGATGGAAGCCTAGGGAAGAGGGTGTTTCTAAGAGGAGGAGGTGGTCAACACCATGGAACACGGCTGAGAGATTAACCAGATTTGGGCGTCAAGATTCCATTGGATTGATGGTAATTTTTTACTTTGGCCAGAGGTGTTTCCATGGATGGGGATGAAGCCAGGTTAGGGAGTTAAAGAGCAAGCGAGAGGCGAGGAAATGAAGGCAGCGAGTGTAGACAGCTCTCAAGATGTTTCTTGTAAAGGGGGAGAGACAAGGGGTATCAAGAATTTCTAATATGATTGAATCCACAGGAGGTTAAAAAAAACAAACAAAGAACAAAGAAGGATTTGTAACCTGACAGGGTTTATCCCCTTTTTACAGATGAGGAAATGGAAATCAGCGAAGTTAGGTCTCTCTTCCAGTCAGTCTGTGGGGGAGACGGGATTTGAACCTGTTCAGGGCAACACAAAGGTAAGCTCAGTACAAAACTGAGCTTTCTGGAAGCTCAAGAATGCATGTAGCCAGCTCCCTGCCTCGGGGGTCTGAGGAGTCACAGACACTCCATGCCCTCTGCTCACCACATGTTTTCTTTCAGGGAAGGACCCATGGCCACGCTGAGGATGAATGTTTCCACTGACGCTCTTCTCTTCTCTTCCCGTAGCTTTTCATCATTTTGATCTTGTCCTTTCTCCAAAGACGAGAGCACCGTAAGCAGAGAGAGGACATTTCTCACCTCCTGGGGAACCGCTTTGAAATCATCATGTGAGTGGTCGCCACAGCTTGGGGAACCCTGTTGCAAGGCCAGCACAGCTCCCCATTTCTGCTCTAGCCTTGCCTCCTCTCCACCCCTCCTTCCCCTCCCTGCCCCATCCCTGCCCAGCTCTGGAAATTCAGAATTGGCCTCCAAGCCAGTGTGGCCTCAGCACCCAGGGCTGCCCAGATGTGATTACAACGTCTCAAGGAGGCTCCGCTCCCTGTGGGAAAGGCCTTTGCACACCCAGCACCATGGCGGCCTTGGGAAGCAGGAGGAAGCGAGCTCTGGGTTGGTCACCAGCAGCAGTAAGCATTCATGCTGGGATGGCACCATGGGTCACACACCAGGAGATCCCGCCCGGACGAGGCTGCTTTCGAGCCCTTGCTGGCTCTGCCATCCTGAGTCTCTGCACCCCTGATCACATTTATCTTTACTCTCTAATCGTTCGTATCCCTGCCACATCATCCTTTAATAATTCATCATAATAATGATGATAAAGCAGATAACAGTTACTGCACAGTGACCGTGACCCAGGCACTGAACCATTAGCTTTGCCTGCATTACTTGGACGAACCCTCTTGTGGACCTAGCATACTGGAGGTTCGTATCCTCAGGTCATGGATGACAGCCCAAGTCCACACAGCTAACAAGTGACAAGAGATTTCACTGAGGTCTGCTTGATATTTGCTCTGATTCTCCCAGTGTTGGAGCAGGCTCCAGTGTACGAACACACTAAGGTCTCCACCTTGGGCTCTGGCGAAGGGAGAGGAAGCAGGGCATCGAGACCAAGGCTAGCAGTGACCTACGGCTTCAGGTTGACATAGGGAGGCCCTGTGCCAGCTCTGAGGAGCAGACTCATTCTGGAAAGCACTCACTGAAGGGGTTAGTCGCTCCCGAAAGGCCAGGCCTGAGCCCCACTGTTTGGGGTGCAGAGCCAGACTTGGCCCTGGGCGTCTGACAGGCGGGCTGGTGCGGGACTTTTTAAGAAGCAGGAGCTCCCTATGGGTCATGTTGAACTGCTTCGACTTCAGTTGGTAAGGGCACAGCCTGCTTGCTCCCTGGCCACTTTCCCATTAAAACCCCCGCTTTTCTGAGGAGTTCTATCAGGCCCACTGTCTTCACGCTTTGGAAGCCCCTCACTGGTGCGTGGCACACCAGTTTGCCAAGCAGTTCTTCATTTGCCACCCATGGTGTCGCTGCCATAAGCAGAGCAGGGGCTGTCATCTGTCAGAAGGATCTGGAAACAGTCTCACATATCTCTGAGGTACCACAGGTAGGACTGACTGAATTTGGTTCCCGTCCACAAAACGGGTGTTGGTGAATGTGCGCTGAGCACCCACTCTTTTCAAGAGCCTGTACTAGATACCCACCCCTTGGAGCGTATAGTTTTCTAGACAAGCAGTAGTGTGTGAAACACGGACATGCCCTTAGGGCTGAGGGGACACAGGCAAGGCAGCACCTAGATGGGCCTCCTGGGAGGGGTCTGGGTGATAGTGGGGGTGCTTCCCAGAAGAGGTGCTCCTTGAGCTGGGCCTTGAAGGGTAGGATGAGCAAGACTAAAGGGACAGGAGGTGAGATCCAGACCCTGGCCCCAGGTCCCTGCCTCCACGCCTTGCTCCCAGTGTTTTCATCAAAACTTGCTTCAGATGGTCCTTTGACGGGAAAGTCCTCTCTTTTTTCCAGATGTGGTTGCTGACTTTGATCTGGACAGAGCTTTTTTGGTTAGAAGAAACAGACATCCTATAAAGCTTGTTTTTGTAGAAGGGAAATAAAGGATTTTTATAAAGTTACAGAGATTTCACAGAATCTGGCAAGGCCAGCCTCATGGCCACTGGTCTCCTGAGATGGTCATCTCTGGGAGACTAATTCTGTTCTTGCCTCCCTGCGTCATGAGAGCCCCTCAGCACCATTTTTTATTGTCCTCTCTGCTATCTGCTTTTATCATCTGATTTAGGATCCTTCCTTCCCTAAAACCTCCATTTTCCTCTAGCACCAGCTCTGATCCCAATGTGGCATGCAGAACAGAATTTTAACAGCTGACTGGCCCACGTCCTCAGGGTCAGAAGCCCAAAATCCAAGACCAGGCGTCTGACTGGCCCACCCAGGGTCAGGTGGTCACCCCTGGTCCAATCAGCTGTGGCCAGGAAGGTACGCTTGCGTGGAACCCGCATGGCCAATGCTACCCAGACCTCTCCAGGGATGTTGGGGCGCTCCTAGCAGCCGGGCACGGGGCAGGTTCCCCTAGGCCTGTTGAGCACATAGTCCTTGTTTTGGTCTCTTGAGTCACACTGCCTGTGTCTCTCATAGATGAAACTCATCCTATTTTGTTTGTTCTCATGGTTATTAGTGTCCTTGCTTGTGTCCCTTACCCCATTCTCCTCCCTGGGACTTGGAGCTCCTCAAGGACAAAGATTTTGGTCTTCCTCACTTCGGTACCCTGAATCCACATTTACCCCCAGAATTGGCCCTGAGGGTCTCAGAAAAATGCCAGTTGAAATGAAAAATTCACCACCCAATAATCCCTCCTCAGGGTAGGATTGATAATTTGGAGGTGAACTGTTGGACGGAGCCACGGTCTGGCCTCACGAGCTGTTTCCCTCCTTCACAGACCTCTGGACTTCGTGGGCACCTTTAGTAACCGATGGTCCTATGGAATCGCTTTTGGGGCCACAGCCAATAAGGTCATGTTCTTGTTCTCAGAAGGCTACCAGCCCTTGCAGATCCCACAGTGGGCCCAAGGTAAGGGCTGCCGCATACCGGCCGGGATTTTTGCCGTGGCAAGTCTTGCTTTCAGAGAGCGCATGCAAGGGTTCCTAGGGATCAGGATAAACGTTATGAGCCATCAGTGTTCCTCCCTGCCTGTAACCTCCCCAAGGAAGATGCGTCATCTGCCAGGTCTCAAAGCTTTTTTGTGGGGCTTTCTTCCAGGGAGAGTCAGAGTTCCTTCTGATAGAGAATAAAGGTTTAAAAAGTGGGTTCACCATCACCCACCCCTGAAATTTCAGTCCTGAGTACTAGGCATGCTGCCTTCTTGATATCAACAAGCCCTGGCATTCCTCCTCACAGAACAATGCTTATTTCTTTGGCCATTGGTCTGAGGCCTCTTCATTCCCCATGTCTCTCGTTCTCCCTGAAGGATTGACTCTAATTTACAGAATAGGCCATCCCAGTACAATGACTCCAAACCTCTCTGCCCAGCTGGGTTCTCTCTGAGGGCCTCCAGGCCTGTATGAGCAAATGCCTGTCAGCATCTCATTAGTCTTTAGGGAAATGCAAATAACACTGAAATGATATGCCACCAGACACCTCTTTGATGTGTACAATCTGGTAAGTTCTGACAAATGTTGACATCTGTGAAATCTGGACCACAATCAAGACAACGAACCCCATAAACTTCCTTGTCACCTTTTGTCATCTCTCCTTCCCACCCTATTCCATCACTGCCCTCATCACTGATCTTTTTCCAGAATTTTATATAAATGGAATTATACAGGATGTACTTTTTTATTTTGGTGTATCTTCTTTCACAGAACGTAGCTATTTTGAGATTCATATACCTTTAACCTGTGCCAGAAATTCATTCTTTCTTATTGCCAGGTGGTGTTACACTATATTGAGAAAACAGACTTTGTGTGTGCCCATTCACCTTTTTTTTCTTTTTAACAAGATTTATTTATTCATGACAGAGAGAGAGAGCGAGCAAGCGAGAGCTCCCGGGGTGGGGATGGGGAGGAGATGGGGAAGGAGATGGAGGGAAAGTCTTAAGCAGACTCCGTGCTAATTGAGTGGGGCTCAACTCCATGACCCTGAGACCTTGACCTGAACGGAAACCAAAAGTTGGAAACCTTGTAATTGGCCATCCCACCGGGGGGAAATCCCCTCTTGATGGACATTTGATTTATTTGCGTCTTTAGCTCTTGCAAATAAAGCCACTATGAATATTTGTGCAAAAATCTTTGTGTACCTCTGCTTCCGTTTTCCCTGGGTACGTACCTGTGAGTGGAATGGCTGTATCTTCATGTAGAAGATCACACTTTTTAAGGAAATCGTCAAACCGTTTTCCAAAGTGATTGTTCCATTTTCGATTACAACCATCAGCATGCAAGACTTCTACTTTCTCTGTATCCTTGGCAACACGTAGTCAGTCTTTCTATTTTTTATTTATATTGTTGTCAGTCTCTTTTTATTTTTTCCCCTTCTTTCTCAGCTTTTATTTTATTTATTTTTTAAAAGACTATTTATTTATTTATTTATTTGACAGACAGGGATCACAAGTAGGCAGAAAGGCAGGGAGAGAGAGAGGAGGAAGCACACTCCCTGCTGAGCAGAGAGCCTGATTCAGGGGTCTATCCCAGGACCCTGGGATCATGACCTGAGCTGAAGGCAGAAGCTTTAACCCACTGAGCCACCCAGGTGCCCTTTATTTTATTTTTTTAATTTTTTATGTTCAGTTAGCCAACATCTAGTACATCAGTAGTGTTTGATGTAGTGTTCAGTGATTCATTAGTTGTATATAATACCCAGTGCTCATTACATCGTGTGCCGTCCTTAATACCCATCACCCGGCTACCCCATCCCCCCACCTCCTGCCTTCTGAAACCCTCAGTTTGTTTTGAGGAGTCAGTCTCTTTTAAAAATAATCTTTGGGGCCCTTAGGTGGTTCAGTCAGCTAAGCGCGTGACTCTTGATTTTGGCTCAGGTCATGATCTCAGGATTGTGAAATCGAGCCCCATGTCTGGCTCCACACTGAGGGTAGAACCTGCTTAAGATTGTCTCTCTCCAGGGTTGCCTGGGTGTCACAGTCAGTTAAGTGTCTGCCTTTGGCTCAGATCATGATCCCAGTGTCCTGGGATTGAGTCCGGCATCGGGATCCTGGCTCAGGGGGGAGCCTGCTTCTCCTTCTGCTGGCCACTCCCTGGGTTTGTGCTCTCTCTCGCTATCTCTGTCTCTCTCTTTGAAAAATATAAATAAATGATGTCTTAAAAAAAAAGATTCTCTGTACCCTTCCCATTTTCCCACCACACTTTCAGATAATAAATAAATCTTAAAAAAAAAAAAAGATTCTCTCTCTCCCTCCTCTACCCCTCTCTGCCACCCCCACTCATGCATGCATTGTCTCACTCAAAAAAAATTTTTTTTAATTTAATTACATTAGTTTAAGGTGTCCAACATAGTGATTCAACATCTCGGTATGTTATGCTCTGCTTACCGCAAATGTAGCTCCCATCTGTCATTATGCAATGCAAATGTCATTGACTATATGCCCCATGCTGTGCCTTTTATTCCTGTGGCCTTTTCATTCTATAACTGGCAACCTATGAGTCCCCTTCATCCATTTTGCACCCCCTCTGGCAACCATCAGTTTGTTCTCTGTAAATATAGATCTGATTCTGCTTTTCGTTTGTTTGCTTATTTAAGAAATAACAAGTGTTGGTGAGGATGTGGAGAAAAACGAACCTTCATGGACTGTTGGTGGGAATGTAAATTGGTACAGCCACTGTGGAAAATAGTTGGGAGAGTCCTAAAATATTAAAAATAAGATTACTATATGATCCAGTAATTCCACTACTGTGCATTTACCCAAAGAAAATGAAAAACATTAAGCTGAAAAGATAGAAGCACCCTGTGTTCATTGCAGCATTATTTACAGTAGCCAAGATATAGAAGCAACCTAGGTGCCCATTGATAAATGGATAAAGAAGTTGTGATACACACACACACACACACACACACACACACACACACACACAGGAATATTACTCAGCCATAAAAAGGATGAAATCTTGCCATTTGCAACAACATAGATGGACCTAGAGGGTACAGTGAAGTAAGTCAGACTGAGAAAGACAAATACCGTATGACTTTATTCTTATGTAGAATCTATAAAACAAATGAATAAGCAAAGTCTTTTTAATTTTAGCCATTCCAAGAAGCATGTAGTGCTGTCTTATTGTGGTTTTAATTTGCATTTTCATGATGACTGAGGATGTTGCGCATATTTTTATGTGCTTATTTTCTAACCCTGTAGCTTCTTTGGTAAAGGGTCCGGATCGCTTTCATTATTTACAAAAGTGAGGGGTTTTGTTTCCTTCCTATTGAGTTTTGATACTTCTATATCTCGTTCTCTGTGTAAGTCCTTTATCAAATGTCTGAATTGCATTTGCTCCCAGTCTGTGGCTTTTGTTTTCATTCTACCAACACTTTCTTTTGAAAAGCTGACTTAAAATTTTGATGAAATCTAATTTATTCATTTTCTTTTATGGATCATGCTGATGGTGTTCTAGAAGAAATCTTTGTCGAATCTAAGGTCATTTAGATTTTCTCCTGTGTTTTTTCTGGAACCTTTATAATCATGATATTTTGCACTTAGGTCTATGATACATTTTATTAATGTTTTGTGTATAGTATGAGGTAAGGACTGAAGGGTTTTGTTTTTGTTATCGTTTTTGTTTTTTTGTTTTTGGTTATCCATTTTTTTTTTCAATACCATGTATTTGAAAAACCTGTTCTTTGCTCACAAAATTGCCTTTGGACCTTTGTCAGCATCAATCGGCCACATACGCATGGATCTGTGTCCGGACTCTGCTCTCCTCCATGGATCTATAGCATGTGGGGGCTCCGATCTCTCCACACCCTCCCCAACGGTATTTTCTATTTTTAAAACAATGACAGCATCTCAGCATGGGTGAGGTAGCATCTAATTGCCATCTGGATTTGCAGGTCCCTAAAGACCAGTGCTATGGAGCAGCTGGCAGGGTCAGAACATCATTTCCTGCTTCGTGGCTCGAGCTCCCTCTCTTCTGTTGTTACAAAGTGATCATAGAGCTGTATCCTCCTAATACCCTGAGCCTTCCCCAGTCAGCTTCTTCCCTCCGCTGGCGTCTGCGCCCTTGGTTTCCCAGCTCCTAACGTTCCTCTCCCTCTCGCTTTAGAGTCGTATGGGTCTGCAGGCTGCCTCCGTGGGGGCTGTGTCATGGGAGCGGCCTGAGATAATCTGCAGAGCGAGGTCAGGGCCAACAGGTTTTTCTCACCCGTGATTTGCAGCCTTTGTCACCTGGTCGGCTTTCAGCTGGGATTTCCGCTTCGGTGTCTTGTGTCTGCGGGCAGATTGGGGCTCTTCTGTTCTTGGGCCTTCAGACATCCCATTGCCTTCTTCTGCTTCCACTTATTCAGATGTCGAGACCAAATGGCCTCGAGACCTAGATTTCTGGTAGATGTTTTCTCTGGGTTTGGTTTTGCCGTCTTAGTTGCCCTGTCTGCCTCTATGACAGGTAGATTGCAAAATTATGCTCTTGGGGCTTCTTTCCTCACAAAAATTCTTCCTCCTATATGGTCCTGTCCTGCTGACCACCCACCCCTCACATGCACGTAAATACTGACCAGCCCCAACCGGCCATCTCCTTCCCATTCTGGGAGTGAGGAATTCCCTTCCTTCCCTTCTCTCCATCTTACAAACGCCTGCTTGTATTTCCTGGCCTTGCTAAATGTCACCACCTCCAGGAAGCCTTCCCTGATCGGGACACCAGGTGAAGTCAGTGGCTTCCACTTCTTGTCCCCACAGCAGATTGACTGTGCCTCTGTTAACACACCACTTACCTTCCTCCCTGTCTTCTCTACTAGACAGCAAGCATCTCAAAGCAAGAAGCTAGTTCATTCCTCCTGTAGCCTTAGTGCCTGGCTCTGGAGCCGGCTTAAAGCAGATACTTCGTAAAGGTCATCTTGCACGATTAGATTTTCCTGGACCTTGTTAAACCCTCTAAGAGCTTGTCAGTGGCAGAATGAATATCATGATCGCCTCATCTAGGACAGGGTGGTTACACGAGGCTTTGTGCACACACTTCACCTCGCTTTGTGTTGCCATGGTCCACTCCCGGTGCTTTACTCTTGGTCGTTTCTGTTTGTCCCTTTACGTGGCCTGTCTGTACCTCACGCTGTGAGCTGGCCAAAAGCAGGGGCCAGGTCTTCTCCATCTCAATATGTAGCCAGTGCCTGGCATGGAAGAGGTCCCAAGAAGGGTCATTTGCAAGAGGGAAAGACATTCCTGCATTCCTCCTTGTGGAGCTGGGGCTTGTCATCTCATCTCCTTGGGTCCTGAGGCCTGCGACCCGAAGTCCCTGTAAAGCCCCATTGCTTCCATGGTACACACCGAGCCCGTGAGAAGAGGACTCACGACATCTCTCGCTCTGTCTCTCCCAGCCTTTGTGCTGCTGATCGGAGGCATGGAAGTCGGCCTGTCCCACTTCCCCTTCTTCGCCTGCCTCTCGTCGGAGTTCCAGCTGCTCAGCTCCGTCCTCGGCTTCAGCTACTCTCTGATCTGGTAAGACGGACGCCGCCTGCCTGCCTTCCTGTGACTGCTTCGGCCGTGGCTGACCTCTGGACAAAGGGCTGGGGGTAACTTGGGAGCTCCCCATGGAGGGCCTCTTTGCCCAGACCTGAGGCTCACGATGGGCGGGTGGGGTGACTGGTCGCAGTCCCACTGGGGCCTGTCTGTGGGACTGCACATCAGGCTGCGGAAGGTCGGTCCACTGTGCTTTCTGCTTCATGAGCCACTTGTGATCAGAATGTTCCCCAAAGTCAGCAATGGAGCAGCCCAGAGTCCTGGTGGGGGGGGATGTAGGAGTCCCATTTGGATGCTGCTTCTCTGTGCTGTCCTGTCTCCCCTGGGAGCCCAGCCAAAAGTCCGTGCACCTCAGCTTGACGTTCAGGGCACTGCGGGCAGGCCTCCCCTGTCTCTCCATCCCCCACAGTCTCCAGCACACACCACTGCTCACGCCAGACTCCTGCGTCCCTTCACCCACCCGCTTACTCCCTCAGCAAACACCCTATCATATCCCTGCTCGGAGCCCAGGAACACGTGGGAGAACAGGCCAGTCCCTGTAGATCATGTGTTCTGGCCTCTTGGTCTGTATCTTGCTGTTGCCCCAGTGGACTACCGTCCCCGACTCGATCCGGTGGGACATACAAGCCCATCCTTCATGGATTGTCAACCCCACAGATGCAGACCAGAATTGTGTCCTATCTGAGCGCACGTGAGATGAATTTTGTACCCGTACTTGAGCATAAGCAGGGTGGCTGATCTGGGAGGGAGGGACACAGAGGCCTGGGCGCCAGCCCTCCCAAGGAGGAGGGGAAGGGGAGGGAGTTCCAGGCTGATGGAATCTGGGCTTCTTCCTGCAGACTATGCAGGGGGCAGCCACAGTACCCCAAACCTGTTTGTGTCCTGCAGGTTTGCTGTCACCGTCCTTTACATCACAGAGTGTCCCCACGGACAGGTGAGTCCCTGCTGAGCTAACTTTAGAGTATTCAGTCCTGTCCCTGTGACCAGTTTGCTGTGTGACATTGGACTAGCCCCTGCCACTCTCTGGGCTTCAGTTACCTCGTGTGAATGGAAGGAGAGTTAGAACTGTTCATGGTGCTTCCATTTGTACATCTTACACTATCAAGGCGCTCATTCACAGACAGAGTCCTCTCAGTTCATGTTCACAGCAGCCCCTCGAGGTGAGGAGCCTCTCAGCAGACCCGTTTCACAGGTGAGGAAACGGAGGCCAAGTGTATTAAGTAACTCTTCGGAAATAGCAGATTCGAGAGTTGAGACCAGGTCTGGGGGACTCCAAAGCTCATTTCTTTCAATACCTTCATGTAGCCTCACTTTCTCTGTCCGGAAAATGGGAAGTTGGACTGGATGAACCTTCCAGGTTGACCATGTCAGGTTGGAACTGGAGGGAACTGGTTCATCTGTTTGGCCTTGTATGTGAGGAAAAGGAGCAAGATGAAAGACGGTGTCACGCTGCATCTAGAAGGGTGACTAGGCAGGTGGGGGGAGCATCAGCGGGCCACTGGGGTCTGGAGCTGATAGGAGCCTTGCCAAGGTCTATCCTGGGCTTCACTCACTGTGGGGGACTAGAGGGTGTGAAGAAGGGAGTCTGGGGGAGCTGGACTAGAAAACGAGTTTGGGGGCCGGGCTTTCCCTCTGCATCTCTGTGCTGGGATTAAGAACATTCTAGCACACCCCTGCCCAAAAAGATGCCCTCCACTCTGCTCACAGTGCCGGGGATTCCAGACCCCCGGCATTTACTCTGGTATCTTGGAGAGCTTCCAGGCTTCCGAGGTTCTTCTGAAATTTGAAATATTCGTGGTTAATTAAGGGAGAGGGCAGGGTCTTACCTCTATGCTCAGAATCACTAATGTTAGGAACTGCTGTCTGCTAGGTGTTGTTCGAGGCTCAGCCCCCCAGATTAACGAGTGCTTCGAGGCCCTTTGAAGGCTGCCTGTGGGGGCCGTCCCCAGTTCACTGATGAGAAAATGAGGCTCAGGGGCTAATGGGAATTACGGGTTAAAAATCATGGGCCTGGAATCCAGACTAAGGTAAAATAAAGATTTCGTCTCATGTTCTGAAATGTATTCATGGAAACATTATATATAAAAATGAGACATTGGAAGAGTCTAAAAAGTCAAAAATTAGGAGAAACTTTAAAGTTGGTTCATGTAAATAAGGCACTGTTATGGCATGCAAATAATTTGTGAACCTGTGGGGAGCTGATGATGATGTATACAGACCTATGTATTTGGTATCATTTCAGTTTATGATAGAGATACAAGGCTGGATACAGAGGGAAGAAACGGGAATATCAGCAGTGGTGATGTCTGATGTGTAAGCAGGGAACAGACATTAGAGAGGAGGATGAAGGGGAGACAAGAGCCCCCACATCTCAGAATGCTTCCGTCCACCTGCACAGCACGACATCAAAACCCAGCTCCCCGTGGGAGCAAGTGCTCTGGAAACACAGAAAACTGGGACACCTGGGTGGCTCAGTCAGCTGAACTGCCAGCTCTTGATTTCAGCTTGGGTTGTGATCTTGGGGTCATGGGATGGAGCCCCGTGTCCAGCTCTGTCCTGGGCAGGGAGTCTGGTTGGGATTCTCTCCTTCTCCCTCTGCCCCTCCCCCTGCTCATGCACACACTCCCTTTGTGTCTGAAATAAATAGATAAATCTTTTTTTAAAAATTCCACAAAACCAAACTCTAGATTGTGAAAGATAAGTCACAATATTACTACTTGTCCTGAAACAGTGAAAAAAATTTACAGTGTGTGTATGTGTGTGTGTCATTAAAATGAAACTAAAATCACAGATAAACTATGAGAACCATCTTGAGAGATCTGTACTTGGGAACTTGTGCTGCTGTCAACATGATAGCAGTTATGGGGCCTTCCTTCCTCCCTATCCTCCCTCCCACCTTCCTTCCTTCCTTCTTCCTTTGTGCCTTCCCCTCCTTCCCTCCCTTCCTTCCTTTCCTCCTCCCCTCTTTCCTCCTTTCATTCCTTCCTTTTCTTCCTTCTCTTTCCGTTCTTCCTTCTCTCTCTACTCTCTCCCTATTTTCTCTTCTGTCCTCTCCTCCCTATTTCCCCTCTTCACCCTTCTTTCTCTCCCCCACTGTTGTATTTTCTGAAAGCAATATTTAATTCCTGAACAGAAGAAGCCATGAAAGCCCTTTGTATAAAATAAAATGGGGATATTAGGACTCACACCCAGTGCTGCTGGGCTGTAGGCCCCGGCAGGTGCCACAGTGGGGGGCTAGGGGAGCAGAGATGGACCCCTGGCTGCCCAGCTCTGAGAGAGTGGGCTTGCTGGGTGCGGGCCGGGGCAGGCAGATCCCTGGCCACAGCCTCACCGGTGGCCTGGCCCCGGCCCAGTGATAGCCCGCACCATGCTCTGTTTTGGTTGCAGTTTTTGGGGAGGTTCGAGACGGTCCTGTTCTACTGGCCCTCGCTGCTGTGCCTGGCCTTCCTGCTGGGCCGCTTCCTGCACATGTTTGTCAAATCTCTGAGGGTACACCTGGGCTGGGAGCTGCAGACGGTGAGTACCGAGTAGGAGCCCCGTGTGTGTCCCCATGGGTCTGGTCTGCACAACCACCCCAGGAGGGAGGCGCTATTTTTCTTTTTTTTTTTTAATTAACATACAATGTATTATTTGCCTCAGGGGTACAGGCCTGTGAATCGTCAGGCTTACACAACTCACAGCACTCACCATGGCACATACCCTCCCCAATGCCCCAATGTCCATCACCCAGCCACCCTATCCCTCCCCACCCAGCCCCCAGCAACCCTCAGTTTGTTTTGTGAGATTAAGAGCCTCTTACAGTTTGTCTCCCTCCCGATCCCATCTTGTTTCATTTTTCCCTCCCTTCCCCGCGTGACCCCCCACCCTGCCTCTGAAATTCCTCATATCAGGGAGATCATATGATAATTGTCTTTCTCTGACTGACTTATCTTGCTTAGCATAATACCCTCTAGCTCCATCCACCTCATTGCTAATGGCAAGATTTCGTTTCTTTTGATGGCTGCATAATATTCCATTGTGTATATATATATATACATACAGTATATATATATATAATATTCCATTGTATATATGTATATGTATGTGTATATATATATATACACACATATATATATACATCTTCTTTATCCATTCATCTGTTGATGGACATCTAGGTTCTTTACATAGTTTGGCTATTGTGGACATTGCTGCTATAAACATTGGGGTGCATGTGCCCCTTCGGATCACTACATTTGTATCTTTGGAGTAAATACCCAGGAGGGGGCACCTGAGTGGCTCAGTGGGTTAAGCCTCTGCCTTCTGCTCAGGTCGTGATCTTAGGGCTCTGGGATCAAGCCCCACATTGGGCTCTCTGCTCAGAGGGGAGCCTGCTTCTCCCTCTCTCTCTACCTGCCTCTCTGCCTACTTGTGATCTCTGTCTGTCAAATAAATAAATAAAATCTTAAAAAAAAAAAAACCCAGGAGGTGCTATTCTTATTGCTCCAGTTCTGTGTGAGGAAACTCGGACCAGGGAGGTGGGTTGCATTGCCCAAGGTCATACCGCTGGTCTGGAGCAGAGCGGGAACCACAGCCAGAGAGCTTGGTTGCTGAGGCTCTTTCTTAACCACTGTGCTCCATCCAGAAGAACAACTTGACCCAAATTCCTGGCCTCTGTGACAAGAGCTTGTCACGAAGATTTTTGAGCCCCATCATACATCTGTCTCTTTTCTCACAGGAAGAAAAGCCTTTCCTGGAAGTTCACCAGGCGGAACATGTCAAACGTCTCCTGAGGAAGCCCCCCCTGCAGTAAGCCGCGGGGTACCCCCATTCACCCCTCCATGTTTGTACCGGTGTGGACGAGCCCTGAGGTGTGGCAGTCCCTGAGATGCCTGGAAGGGCACAGAGTAGTCAGGACTCTTGTCTGCTAATGGCAAAAACTCAACTCAAGCTAGATTTAATAGAAGAAGGAAACGTATGGCTTCCCATAACTTAAAAGTGTAGAGGCGGTGAGCGCAGATGGCCATTGACCCAGTGGCTTCATTGATAAAAGAACCAGGGCAAGTTCCCTCATTTTCTCTTAGCTCTGCTTTGATCTGTGTTAGCCTTGTAGTGAGGGGGGTTTCCTCCCGGTGGTGGCCCCCAGAATCTCTAAGCTTATACCCTCTTGGTGTAAGCTCATAGGAAAAAGAAATTTTCCTTTCTAATAATTCAAATCAAAATCTCATTGTGATTCGTTGGATCACATGGGGCTACACGTCTTTCCAAAACCAATTCCTGTGGCTAGGCAATTAGAGTAAATGGATTGTTAAGCCTGTCACATATTCACCATTGAAACTAGGAAGTTGTTCAGGCTCACTTAACCACTAGGACTGATGGGAGGGAGCAGGTTTCCAGAGAAAGACTGCTGTGCTCTTACCAATACAAGAGGACATAGCTCATGACCAAGCAAAAGCACCTGCTCTTCAGTGACCTCTCCCTGCCACTGCCACCATATACAAGGGGATGTGCCCCGGAGAAGAGATGTGGCTAGTCCGAGGTCATACAATGGCAAGGCTCATACTCTGGTTAGAACTACATTTGCTCACGTGTAGCAGAAAATGGAAAACAACAGTGGGACACACAAAAGGGAGATTTCTTTCTTCTTCATGTAAAAGAATTCTGCAGGCAGGCAGATCATACTGACCCCACACTGCCCACCATGGAAGTTTGCTGATCACCTGTCTTTCGGCTGCCATTCTTAGTGATTGTCATCATGAAGGCTGTCCACGTCCAAAGTAGATGCTGGTCGGGCTCCAGCTTGGACCATCCACCATGTCTGCATTTTAGAGGCTGGGCAGGAGAAAAGAAGGAAAGGCAGTGGGGTCCCTCCCAGCTCTGTCAATTCTACCTCAGCACCTTCCCCAAAATGCCATGCCACACTGTGGTCACTTCTGATCAGCCCGTGCTTGGTCTTCCAGTCTTAGCTGTAAGAGTCAGAAGCCATAGCCCTTTAGTCTGCTGAATCGCTGTATTGAGTAAAACAGTCTCTGTTCTTAAGAATGAGGGGAGAATGAAAACTGGGATCTATCAGTGTTCTTTCTCTTACCTGCATTCTAAGATGAAGCAGCGACAATGAGGTTATTTTCAGAAGTATCAGGCATTTGCTTATCAACCACAGCCTCTCTTTTCTTGTTACTTATTCATTCACAGGGAGACTAAAAAGTCCTGGTTCCAAACCAGAATCTATGAGTGGGATCCCTGCTTTCAGTTCCCAAGCAGAATGATTGGAACCACTGTGTTGGCTTTCATATGCCTGTACCTTGTAAGTAGATCTGAACAAATCCTTCTCTGTTTCATAAATGGGGTGGGGTTAGGGCAGGGGATATTCTTTAAAAGCTAGGTAAAAACTGAATCTCTGTAAATCAAAGAACAACAATATTTTGGCCCCTACCATTTTTACTCCAAGGATACTTTCACCCACATGGCAAATATTATGAATAAATATAATTGAATTATTTATGGAGGCTTCTGGTTATCAATTCTATGTAAAGAGTCTGCAAGATGCCACTCTATCTTAACCACAAGTAAAAACCTGAACAAACTGAAAAATCAATAGTTCTTCTTAATGCATAAGGAAAGAGAAGTCATGGTGCAAACCATTGCCCCTAAAATTGGAGACAGACAGGTGGGTAGGAGAGCCACAATGGAACGGAGCAAATAAAATCTAGCAATGTCTGAAAAGAATTATACACCACAACCAAGTGGGGATTTATCTCAGATATGCAAAGGTACAATATTAAAATTAATGTACTCAATCATATCAGTAACTGAAAGAAGAAAAACCACATGATCCTATCAATGGATGCAGAAAAAGCATTTAACAAAATCTAATACCAGTTCACGAGAAAATTTTTCAGCAACCTAGTCACAGAGGGGATCTTTTTCAATATGATAAAGAATATCAACAAAAAACCTACAGCTAACATCATACTTCATGGTGAGAAGTTAGAAGCTTTCCCACCAAGATCAGGAAGAAGGCAAGACTGTTCCCCCTCACCGCTCAACATTTACTTAGGAAATCCTAGCTAAGTAATAAGACAAGAAAAGGAAATAAAAGCTATACTGATTGGGAAGAAAGAAGTTAAAATGTCTTTGTTCACAGATGACATGATTGTGTATGTAGAAAATCCAAAAGAATCACCAAAAAAACTCCTGAAGGGGAACCTTCCCGGCTCAGTCAGTAGAGCATGAGACATTTGATCTCCGGGTTTTAAGTTTGAGCCCCACACTAGGTGCAGAGATTACTTAAAGTCTTAAAAAAAAAAAACAATTCTGGAACTAATAAGTAGTTATAGCAAGGTTGCAGGGTACAAGGTTAACATACAAAAGTCATTTGCTCTTTTATATATCAGCATTGGACAAGGGGAATTTGAAATTAAAAATACAGTATCAGGTCCTCTGGGTGGCTCAGTGAGTTAAGCCTCTGCCTTCAGCTCAGGTCGTGATCTCAGGGTCCTGCGATCGAGTCCCACATCAAGCTCTCTGCTCAGCAGGGAGCCTGCTCCCCCTACCCCCCGCCTGCCTCTCTGCCCACTTGTGATCTCTGTCTGTCAAATAAATAAACAAAATCTTTTAAAAAATACAATATCATTTACATTAGCATTCCCCTAAGAGAAATACTTTCATGTAAATCTAATAAAAATATGTACAAGATTTATATGAGGAAAACTACAAACCTATGTTGAAAGGAATCAAATAAATACATGGAGTTATATTCTATATTCATGTTTGGAAAGACTTAATATTGTCAAGGTATCAGTACTTCTCAGATTGGTCTCCATATATCGGGATTGATCTATATTGGAATTCAGTTGAAATCTCAATCAGAATCCCAGGGAGTTAGGTTGTGGACATTGACAAAGTGGTTCTGAGGTTTTCAGGGAGAGGCAGAAGACTCATAATAGCCAACACAATTTTAAAGGAGAAGAAGAAAGTTGAAGGACTGACACCATTCAATTTCAAGACGTACTGCAAAAGCTGCGCTAATCATGACACGCGGTGTTGGCAAAAGAATAGACAAATGATTCAGTGGACAGAATAGAGAGCTAAGAAATAGACCAACATAAATACAGTCAGCTTATCTTGGACAAAAGGACGAAGGCAATGCAATGGGGCAAAGGTTTTCTTTTTTTTTTTATTAAAGATTTTTATTTATTTATTTGACAGACAGAGATCACAAGTAGGCAGAGAGGCAGGCAGATAGAGGAAGGGAAGCAGGCTCCCCACTGAGCAGAGAGCCCGATGTGGGGCTCCATCCCAGGATCCTGAGATCACGACCTGAGCCGAAGGCAGAGGCTTAACCCACTAAGCCACCCAGGTGCCCCCAAAGATTTTCTTTTTAATAAATGATGCTGGAACAACTGGACATCTGCATGCAAAAAAAAAAAATGTAGACACAGACCTTCATAAATATTAACTTAAAATGGATCACAGACCTAAACATCAAATGCAAAACTATAAAACTCCTAGAAGGTAAAATAGGAGAAAATCTAGTTGACCTTGGGTTTGATGATGACTTTTAATTTTTTTAAAATGAAATGAAATTTATTACTGTTACTATTTTTGGCGTTATCAAGCATTTATTTGAGGGACTGATAAGTGTGAATTTATGTATTTATGTATGTATGTATTTTTATTTTAATTCCAGTATAGTTAACATATTATTTCAGATATACTGTATAGTGATTCAACTATTCTATATATCACCCAGTGCTCGTCACAACAAGTGCACTCCTTATTCCCCTTCACTATTTCGCCCATCCCTCCACCCACCTCCCCTCTGGTAACCATCAGTTTGTTCTCTACATTGAAGTGGTGATGATTTTTTAGATATGACACCAAAGACACAGTCCATGAAAGGTTGATAAGGTGGGCTTCACTAAAATAAAAACATTTTTACTCTGCAAAAACCTTGTCAAGAGAGCAAAAAGACAAGCCACATTGGGAGAAAATATTTGCAAAGATACATCTGAGAAAGTCTGTTATTCAAAATATATAAAGAGACTTAAAATTCAATAAGAAGAAAATAAATAACCATGTTGGAAAATGGACCAAAACCTTAATAGTCACCTCCTGGAGAAGATAGACAGATGGCAAATAAGTTTTTGAAAACATGCTCTACAGGATATGTCCTCAGGAAAATGCAAATTAGAACAACAATGAGATACCACTACACACCTATTAGAATGGCGAAAATTCAAGACACTGACAACATCAAATACAGATAAGAGTGTGGAGCAACAGGAATCTCATTCATTGCTGGTGGAAATAAAAATGATATGGCCACTTTGCAAAATACTTTGGTAAGTTCTGATAAACTACACGTACTCTTACCATGTGATCCAGCAATCACCTTCCTTGGTATTTACCCACATACACTAAAAACTTAATGTCCACGCAAAAACCTACACATGGATGTTTATAGCAGCTTTATACATGATTGCTAAAATATGAAAGTGACCAAGAACCCTTCAGTAGGTGAATGGGTAAATAGTTTTTGGTATATCCAGACAATGGGATCCAATTCAGCACTAAAGTGAAATGACTTATCAAGTCATGAAAAGACATGGAAGAAACTTAGATGCTTATTAGTAAGTAAAAGATGCCAATTTGAAAAGGTCACACAATGTATGATTCCAACTGCATGAATTTTGGAAGGCAAAATTATGGAGACAGTAAAAGACCAGTGGGTTCCATGTGTTGGGAAGAGGGAGGGATGAAGGCAGAACACAAAAGATTTTTGAGGCAGTGGAAATACTTTGTATGATACTATTATGGTAGATACATGTCATCAAAGGTTTGTTGAAATCCATAGAATCCAGGAGTGAACCCTAGTGTGAACTATGGGGTATGGGTGATAATCATGTTTCAGCTTAGGTGTATTATTTAAGTTTGCTTTCTCAACAACCAAAAAATTTAAATGTTGACATATTTTTGATTTTAATATTTTATTAAGCATGGGATCAAAACATTTCATGTGGTCAAAGTTACCTGAGATAAAATGTCTGAGTCAAAAGTGGGATCAACCTGGAGAGATAGAAATAGCAAGACCAAATTGTCTTCTGGATGCTACCTATATATAAATTAATCCTGTGATTGAGTTTTAAATGAATGTGTTAGGTAATGCTGAAGTACCACATAAACCCCTAAATTTCAGTGATTTAACACTATATATATTTTTGCCCATGTAACAATGCTGAGTGGGTGGGGCTCAGGTCTGGAAGGCAGCGGACCTCTGCATGTTACTCCATAACCCAGATTCTTCTGTCATGTTCCTCATTATCTCCAAGAACCCTCACCATCTGCTTCCAGTCAGCAGAAGGGGGAGGTGCATGGAGAAATGCATATGGAAGGTTTTCAAAGACCTGTGTGGACTGGCACACATTCCTTCCATTCCTCTTCTGGGGCAAGAACCATGTCATGTGGCCACATCTAACTCAAGGGAGGCTGGGAAAGGTAGTCCAGCTTTGTGCCCAAAGGGGAGAATGGATTTTAATGGACAACTGGAGTTCTCCACAATGTGAATAACCAACCTGAAGTTACTGTGTTCCTTAAGTCTTTGGTGGCTCTCTACTGAATGCCAAGCACCATGCTAAGATGGAAGGCTATTTAAAACGAGAAAACTCTATGGGACACCTGGGTGGCTCAGTGGATTAAAGCCTCTGCCTTCGGCTCAGGTCATGATCTCAGGGTCCTGGGATCAAGCCCCGTGATCATGGAAGAGAGAAGACAGCGGATTCATCAGTCTTGGCCTAGGAGAGGCCCATGGTCTAAGAGAAGGGGATACGATGTGGTATGAAGTACTTGCCATGTAAAGAGAGAAAAAAAGGTGAAAGTGCTCTGAAAGCTGAGTGAATTATCTTAGATTGAGACACTGCCTGAAGATGGTAACATTTGGAGCTGCACATTCAAAGACAGACAAAATCTGGTTGATGAAGTAAAATGGTAGTAGGAACTCTAGAAGCTTTTGTATGATGGTAGGCATAGAGCCATGGACCATGATGACAAGATGACGGGAGTGAGCACGTGTGACCTGCATACAGGAACCTGCACCTTCTCTAACATGGCTACCACCAGGACACCAGAAAGACCGTGAGTGGTGAGAGATACAGCTGGAATTGTCCCCAAGGTCACTCCTTAGTCACAGTTAGGCATTCATTTCACTTGGATGTAATTAACGTTTGAAGAGTTCCTTGAGCCCTTGTAGGACCTTTGTGTGCTATTGGGTGAAGAAAAGAGTTTGGGCTGACTCCAAAGAAGTCC